GAGCAGAAAGCCGCCACTTTTTCCTGCAGAACGGCTGGTACATTCAAACTGCCGACCTTGAGGTTAGCAGCTCAAATCGTAACCACTATGTAGTCTTCCTTGATAATGTGATCTGATGTGGACTTCTTCCATTTTTGCATAATGCCAATTTTTGCATCACGACCTGGTCTTTGGAACCTAACCATTATTTTGTTTTTAATGATAAAGGATTATGAGGGTGTTTCAAAAAGTTTATGAAAAAATGGGATTAAAAGATAATGGAATTTTCCTGAATGTTTTGAAGCACCCTCATGTTGTAGGCATTCAAAATAGGTTTGTATTCTCAAACCCTGTGGCATATATAAGCTACTGACACATTTAAGTTTATAATTCAAATACTTAAAACAACTTATATCCTAAGATAATGTATGACAACACATAATTTAGTCACCTTGAAGGTTATACGATGAGGCTTCAAACATTTTTGGAGAAAATGGAACGAAAAGATTATGGAGTTTTTCCGCAAACTTTTGAAGCCCCCTTTGTGTAGTATTTGAAAATTGAGAACCAAATTTGTGATCCTTAGCTAAGCAAAGACATACCAGCAAAGGAGATGGTTTTAGAGATCTAGCTCTAACTCTAGCTTCTGTAGCAGAGTTCTATAAGGACACTGCATTTTATCTAGTTCTTGACAGTTCGACTGGGACAGAATTCGTATTTCTAAAGGATCTGAGTAGAAAGGAGTATTTGCACTGTTTACATAAAGCGAATTAATATGAAGTGAGCTTTCTTTTGAACCATGAAAACTGAGTTACTGCTGTTACAGACTCCATGTAATTGCATAAATCAGCCATGCCTGAATGTTTGGGGTTAAAATAAACCTCATTCTACTATAGGGAAAAGTCATATTACATCTGATAGGCATCTGGCATTGAAATTGAATTAAATGATTTGGTCGCAGTGTGCTTCCTTTTGCTACTTAATTGACTTTATAGTTTTAGACTCTAGATTTACACTTGTTCCTTTATTCAGGCTTCTCTTGTTTCAATTTGAGGTTAGCCACAAGTAACAGCCACCACTTCCTATTCCATATTGTGCATTTCTGCAGCCAGTAAGAGAAGCTGGTAATTCAGGTGGGTCTATGGCTTCACCACAGGACCCTGACTTTTCGACCCCAGCAGTCCCAGTCATCTCTTACATTTGTAGCTAGTTTCACAATGTTCTTACTCTCATTATCGAACTCACTGATTTGCAGTCAGTTTTTAAAGGAGCAGTAAAGGAGCTCTGGTAGCGTAGTGGTTACGAATCGGGCTGCGAACCTTAAGGTCAGCGGTTCGAAACTACCAGCCGCTCCGCGGGAGAAAGATGAGGCTTTCTACTCCCATAAAGATTTACACCCTCGGAAACCCTGTACAGGGTCGCTATGGGTCGGACCCGACTCGATGGCACTCAACAACAACAACAACAATGGTGCTTTTAAATTAAAAGAGAACTCTCCCCGTCCCTAACCCCCTACCCAACAAGATCTGCCTACGGCCCTGCGTGGGGTTTCTGAGGCTGTAATCTTTACAGGGGCTGAAAGCCTCATCTTTCTCGATTTCTTGTTTAGAAATGAAGACTCATCACAGTGGTAGCACATATTTTTTTCAAGGTCACACAAGATCCTGAGTGCTGTCAAGCTAGAGACATATTCTTTTCATATAGCTGGACTTGGTTTCTTCCAGGATAGCTAGATTGTTACTTACTTTTTGTTTGTATTTTACTTTTGATGTAAATGTTTGTTTCCTAGTATTGTTTACTCATAGTTTAGAAAAAGGGAAGGCAAACAATGTGCCAGGCATTTAGTGAAGAGTGACCTTGCAACAAAGCAATGGAAGATACTTTGGTAATAATACAAAGTATAATCCGTAAAATGTTTTTCAACTTTTTTTTTTTTCCATGGAGGAAAATATACCTCTGGCTGCCTGTTAAGATGCAGTGTAAATAAAGACTCCATTTTGACATGGTAGACTTTATCCATTTTAACAGAAAATTACTCTCATGATTCTTATAGATTATGATGGTGGTGGTGGTGGTGGTGTGCCTTGGAGTTGATTCTGACTCATAGAGACCCTGCATAGGGTTTCTGAGGCTGTATATCTCATCTTTCTTCCGTGGAACAGCTAGTTGTTTCGAACTGCTGATTTGGAGGTTAGCAGCCCAGTTTGTAACCACTACGCTACCAGAGCTGCTGGTTGTTGTCGTTGTTTTTAGGTGCCATCGAGTCGGTACTGACTCATAGCGACCCTGTGCACAGCAGAACGAAACATTGCCTGGTCCTGGGTCAACCTCACTACTGTTGCCACACTTGAGTCCATCGATGCTGTCACTTGGCCAATCCATCTCGTTGGGGGTCTTCCTCTTTTTCTCTGACCCTCCACCTTACCGAACATAATGTCCTTCTCTAGCGACTGGACCCTTCTGACAATATGTTCAAAATATGAGAGATGAAGTTTGGCCATCCTGGCCTCCAAAAACACTCTGGCTACATTTCTTCCAAAATGGATCTATTGGTTCTTGCAGGCCATGGCACTTTCAATATTCTCCTCCAGCACTACAACTCAGAAGCATCCATTTTTCTATGGTCTTCCTTATACACTCTCCAGCTTTCGCATGCATATGAGGTTACTGAAAATACCATGGCTTGGGTCAGGCGCAACTTGGTCCTCAAACTGACATCTTTGCTCTTCAACACTTTAAAAAGGTCTTGTGCAGCAGATTTGCCTAATGCAATACATCGTTTGAGTTCTTGACTGCTGCTTCCATGAGTGTTGATAGTTGATCCAAGAAGAATGAAGTCCTTGAAAACTTCAGTCTTTTTTCCATTGATAAGAATGTTGTTTATTGGTCCCATGGTAAGGATTTTTGTTTTCTTTACATTGAGATGTAATCCATACCGAAGGCTGTGCTCTTTGATCTTCATCAGTAAATGTTTTAAGTCCTCTTCACTTTGAGAAATCAAGGTTGTATCATCTGCATATCGCAGGTTGTTAAGGAGTTTTCCTCCAATTCTGATGCTACGTTTTTCTTCATATAACCCAGCTTCTCATATTACTTGCTCAGCGTACAGGTTGAGTAAGTATGGTGAAACAATACAACCTTCTCGCACACCTTTTTAATTTTAAACCACTCAATGTTCCCATGTTCTGTTCAAACAACTGCCTCTTGGTCCAGGTACAGATTCCTCATGAGCACAATTAAGTGTTCCGGAATACTCAAACTTCGCAATGTTGTCCATAGCTTGTCATGATCCACACAATCAAAAGCCTTTGCGTAGTCAGTAAAGCACAGGTAAACATCTTTCTGATATTCTGTGCTTTCAACCAAGATCCATTGGACATCAGGAATGATATCCCTCATTCCACGGCCTCTTCTGAATCCGGCTTGAACCTCTGGAAGTTCTCTGTTAATGTATGATTGTAGCCGTTTTTGTATTACATTTAGCAAAACTTTACTCGCATGGGATATCAAAAAGATTGTCCGATGATTTCCAGATTCTGCTGGGTCACCTCTCTTTGGAATGGGCACAAATATGGATCTCTTCCAATCATTCGGCCAGATAGTTGTCTTCCAAATATCTTGGCAGAGATGAGTGAGTGCTTCCTGTGCCGCCTCACTTTCTTGAAAGATTTCAATTTTTATTCCATCAATTCCTGGTATCTTGTTCTTTGCCAATTCCTTCAATGTACCTTGGACTTCCACCCTGATTATCATTGGCTCTTGTTCATGAGGTACCTCTTGAAATGGTTGAACATTAACCATTTCCTTTTGGTACAGTGACTCTGTGTATTCCTTACTTGTTCTCTTGATGTATTCTGCATCATTCAATAATTTGCCCAGAGAATCTTTCAATAACGAAAGTTGAGGCTTGAATTTTTCCTTCAGTTCCCCCAGCTTGAGAAATGCTGAGCATGTTCTTCCTTTTTGGTTTTCTGACTCCAGATCTTTGCACATTTTGTTGCAATATTTGGCTTTATCTTCTTGAGCTGATCTTTGAAATTTTCTGTTCAGCCCTTGGACCTCCTCATTTCTTCCATTTGCTTTAGCTTCTCTACGCTGGAGAGCAAGTTTCAGTGTCTCTTCTGACAAACATTTTGACCTTTTCCTCCTTTCTTGTCTTTTTAATGACTTTTTGCTTTCTTCAGCTGCTGGTTGTTGTTGTTGTTACGTGCCGTTGAGTTGGTTTTGACTCATAGCGACCCTGTGTAGGGTTTCCAGGAGCGACTGGTGAGTTTGAACTACTGGCTTTGTAGTTCAAATGGCCTTTGCAGTCTGGCGCATTAACTTGCAGCGCCACAGGTGCTTGCCTAACTTATCAACATGGTTAGGTTCCAAAGACCAGGTGATGATGTGAAAATGGAAGACCACATCAGATCATAAACTGGGGGATGACTGCATCATTCATTACATTGCTGCTAACTGAAATCCTTCCCTAACTGCCGAGCCACTGAGAAATATGACCCAGCCTAGTGGACACATAACCTAGTCATCACAGCCAGTTTTATTCTTGCCTTGCTCCTCACTGGTTGTTACTGCCATACAAACATCGTTAATGCACAAATGGTCAGTCCAATTTTTTTTTTTTTAACTGTTTTGTAAATATGAAATGTCCAATAACGAGACATCTGATCAATGAAGAGAGACTGTAGTACAGTTGCGAATTTTCAGGGTCTTTTCCTGTCTTGGAGACAAATACACTGGGTATGTGCTCATTTACCATTGTGCTTGTCTCAATGTGAGCTTCAAATTTTGCTGCTTTGAATAGATGTTAAGCATTATCACAGTACATTACTTTTTGTAGTTCGTCACTTTTGGTAGTCTTTATACATTATTATAATTTTAAATATAGATAGTGGTATCCTGGCAACGAAAGTGCTGCTGTATTTTTACTTTACTAATCATCATGGGCACATTTCTGTCGCTGAGCATCCAAAGTGGTGTGTGGAAAATGATGAAGTCTTCCCTTTTTCTTTTCTTACCAGGTGATCAGACTCTGAGAATATGGGATATGAAAGCAGCCGGAGTCAGAATTGTGATTCCAGCCCATCAGACAGAGATTTTGAGTTGTGACTGGTGTAAGTACAGTGAGGTAGGTAGTATGAGGTTCGAGCCACAGCTGCCAAGTTTTTCCTCAGATTAAAATATTTTAGATTTCTTTTTTACCTTTGTTTATGTGGACTTTGGTGGTGCACATCGATAATTAATTACTTTTCAGCACCTTTCAATTCTAATTGTGATTGACCTGTATAGCATTAATTGTATTTAAGTGCTCACAAAGCATACAGAATAAGAAACAGAAATGTTCTCAGTTCAGCAGCGCAGCCTTACTTGTTTGTGTCAGGAACCTGCTTCACTGTTTATGTCATTTTTTCCTTTCTGTTTGGCTCTTAACCCTGCCAGTTTGTATCAGCTTTTGCTTTCATTTATTTTTCCACTTTGCTAGTCAGGCTTCTGAACGATTTGCAGCTTGATTTCTAATTTGACAGTTCATTGGGTTTTTTAATTTTTCTGTTTCATCTGTCCTTATAAGTCTAATAAAGCTTATGCTTCTGTAACAGCAGTGTCCATGTGTCACCTTTTTGCAAAGCTTCGGTTAACCACATGCGCAGACAAGTTAGAACTAAGAATGAATTAAAAAGTGTTGAAAGATTACTTATGTACCTGAAGGGGTCTGTTGACAGAAACAAAGGTAAAATTTGCACTGCTTTGTTTTTCCCCCCAGTTTAAAATTAATTAATGAAAAAGTTTAGAGAGTATTATGTTGGTTTGTTGTTGTGCCGTTGAGTCAGTTCTGACTCACAGTGACTGTGTAGAGGTTTTCTGAGGCATGACTGGTAGATTAAAACTGCAGACCTTGTAGTTAGCAGTCCAGTGCTTATCGTACAGCACCACACCAGGACTCCATTATATTGGTTGTTGTTGTTAAGTGCCGTGGAATTGGTTCCAACTTATAGTGACCCCTTATAAGGTTTCCAGAGAGTGGCTGGCAGGTTTGAACTGATGACCTTATGGTTCTCAGTCCAGTGCTGACCCCCATAGCACCATACCAGGACTCCATTACTTTGATAGAGTTCTTTAAATAAAAAGAAATAAAATAGATTTTATTTCTAAAAGAAAACATAGTACCTATTCAACAGTAATATTTTATCTAAATTAAAATTTTAGTGCTGATGAATACAGTTCATATCCTTCTCATCATAAATGACTTTTCCATATAGGAAAATTAAATTATAGACTCTATGTTTTACTTTTGGGAATTCTAAAACAGATGCTGATGTATACACTGGAAAGTGGTTTAACAATTCTTTTTCAATCATTAAAGTTTTTTATATGAGCTTATATTTAAGCCCAGCACACTCAGACAATGAGTCGCTGCTCTGGGTGCGTGTAGACCCATCCCGTGGAGCTCTGGGTACATGTAGGATCCTAGGTAGCAGGCTTTGTAAAACCTGATTTGTAAAATCTGCTAGATAGAACTTACCACTATTTGTATAGATTCTCAGATATGATTAGATATTAAGTCTTGGCCCATGAGAGTTAGAAACTGATTGATTTAGATTTAGAAAAACATACAAAAATTTAATTTATACCCTTTGCTTTTTCAAATATTCCTAAATTAATTGTCCTCTTTCCTTTTAATGTTTGATAAAACCTCAGAGCATGTTGAAACCGTAAGAAAAGTGAGCTTATTAGTCAGCTATATAATTTTTAACCCCTATGTACTAAGTACTACTAAAGGTGAGTTGGAAAATCATCTGCACTATTTGGGACTACTGCCTCTCGCTGTTGTATGGTCGTATTTGTTATGTACAAAAAGCATCTGGAGTTCTTTTTTCACTCAAGTCATTCATTTTTGTTTTTTAATGTCTAATTTGATTCCTTTCAATCCTTGGTTCACAATTTCTAAAGATCAACTCCTGGGTACTTATTAAGCAACTACTAGAGAAATAAATACGGTTTTTAGTAGGAAAATCTCAGTACTGCCTCATGGTAAGGTGTTACATCTGTCTAAAATGTTTTCAGAATTTGCTGGTGACGGGGGCAGTTGACTGTAGTTTGAGAGGCTGGGACTTGAGAAATGTGCGACAGCCAGTGTTTGAACTTCTTGGTCATACCTATGCTGTCAGAAGGGTGAAAGTAAGTCTTCTCTTCTCTTCGCTCTTTATACATTTAAGACAGTTTTAAATACAGAGGTGTATATAAAAGACACTTTTAGTGTTTATGAGTTGGGGACTGATGATTGTTTTATGCATGTTTTTGTTAACCCATTAATGATGATACATATTGAAAGCTAAAATTGGGTAAAGTAGTTGTTTAATTACTGACAGAATTGGAATAGTGTAGACAGACAGCTCATGATTACGGTTTAATAAAAATGATTCTCTTATTTGGTCATCCCTGGCCTATTCCTCTCTTAATGTTATTTTTTAACTGTAGTAATTTACTTTTAGTATTATATGCTTCATAATTTTCCATTCCCAGGGAAAGCATTACTTTACTGGTATAGAGAGATGATTCATTCCTTTGTTTTCCTTGACATAATGGACTGTTTTTGGCTGCTCCTAAGAAACTTTCCTGGTTATAAGGAGTCTTTGGTTACTTTCTGTTTAGACAGGATCCTCTAAGTCACTGTGGAAAATGCCTTAGTAAGTGACACCTCTCAGTTTCATTTTTGTTCCTTATTCCTAGAAGTAAGTTACTGATCTTTTTTATAAAATTGTATTTTATGCCTTTTTATAAATTTCAATTAAATTAATATTTAAAATATTACAGAGTACAACACAACATATAAGATACAGTGCCCTTTTTTTTTTTTCTTTCTTTTGATGGCAGTCTTGTTGTTAAGTACTGTGTAGTTTGTTCCAACTCATAGTGACCCTGTATAGGGTTTCCGAGCAGCAACTGGTGAGTATGAACCGTCAACCTTGTGGTCCAGTGCTTATCCTACAGCGACACACCAGGAGGTCTTAGGTGTTGGCAGTTCAAACCCACCAGCTGCTCCTCGGAAACCCTTTACAGGGTCATTATAAGTCTGAATTGACTGGACGGTGCATTGTATAGCAGACTTTTAAAGTGTTGGTAAGGAAAACACTGAATTATAATTGCAAATGGCAGCCTGTTATAGTGTGTTTATTACTTACTTAAAAGACATTTGTTGTTGTTATTATGTACCGTGGAGTCGGTTCCGACTCAGCGACCCTACACAGGGTTTCTGAGGCTGTAAATCTTTACTGGAGCAGACCGCCTCATCTTTCTCCCACGGAACTGCTGGTAGTTTCGAACTGCTGACCTTGTGGCTCGCAGCCAGATTCGTAACCACTATGCTACCAGAGCTCCTTACTTGTCTTTAAATTTATGTCTTTTATTTTTGATTTTTTAATTTACTATGAAATACAAATATATAAATATAATTTAAAATATTATTTCACATCTGAATGTTTCTTTTGATACTTGTAATTATAGCAATCATTTTAACATATATGAAATTGGTAAATTTATAATTATTGATTTTGTACTATCACATATCTAAATTCCTTATATCTCTAGGAGTCTTTTTGGATTGTCAGTGTGAAATTATATTTAACTTTCCCAGTTTTAGAGTGTACCAAGTTTTAGAGAACATTTATTGTAAATAAGCTCTAAAAAGCTTAAAGGGTGGCTTTCTCTGGAGATTGTCAAAATAAATGTTTTTCACATTGATGGATACTTAATGAGCTGAAATGATTTTTGCCTCAAGTTAAAGATGATAAAGTTTGGGAAAGCAAAAGTTGATTTACTGTAACTTAGTGAGAGTAACCATATGAAGTGGCATTTTTTAATTACAGATAACCTCAAAACTTTTTCTCTGTTTTTGCAGTTTTCCCCTTTTCATGCTTCTGTGCTGGCCTCCTGCTCCTATGATTTTACTGTAAGGTACGTTGCATTGTGAAACACCAGTGGCATTTTCATCTTTAAACTTTTATGAAAGATAATGTGCTTATCTTACTAATATAAAAATAATGTGAGCCCGGCACATGTAAATATTTGCCACTAAGATTAATGTTCTATTTTTCCTGTTTTCATGATCCAGTCACTCGTATGAGTAAATTCTTTTACTATTTAAATGTTAGCCAGACTGCTCTGTTTAAAAACCTTGCTCCTGGCTTTTAAAAAAAGCCACTTTGCTTTTATAATAGTAACATTTTCCCACTCTATAAATGCCATTATTGTTGTTAAGGTTCTGACACATAGTGACCCTGAATAGGGTTTTTGAGGAGGGGCTGGTGAGTTTGAGCCGCCACCTTGTAGTTCAAACCAAACTTGTAGTCCAGTGCATTATCCTGCAGCGCCACACCATTACTAGGGTGGTGGTGGTGGCTTTGTGCCGGGGAGTTGGTTCTGACTCACAGCAACGCTGTACAGGGTTTCCGAGGCTGTAAATCTTTACTGGAGCAGAAAGCCTCATCTTTCTCCCGCGGAACATCTGGTAGTTTTCAACTGCTGACCTTGTGGTTCGTAGCCCGATTTGTAACCACTACGCTACAAGAGCTCCTTCACACCATTAGTGGTGGTGGTCATGTGCCACGGTATTTTCAATATAGCTGCATATGCATGTGAAAGATGGACAGTGAATAAGACAGCAGAATTGATGCATTTGAGTTATGGTGCTGGAGAAAAGTATTAAAAAGGTTGCTAGAAGAAGAACCAAATGTAAGAAGTACAGCCAGAATGCTTCTTAGAAGCCAAGATGAGGACACTTTTTTATAATAGTCATATAATATGTCTCTCATATTTCAGACATATTATTAAGAGAGACTTGTCCCTGGAGAAGGACTTCATGCTAGGTAAAGTGTAGGTTTCAGTAATAAAGAGGAAAGATCCCCAGGAGATGGATTGGTACAGTGGCAGGAACAATGGGTTCAAGTTTCACAATGGCGGTGAGGATGGTGTAAAACTGGCTAGCTTTCCTTCTGTTGTGCATAGGGTCACTAAGGGTTGGAACCAACTTCATAGCACTTAGCAACAACAGCAAAGTGGAGCAGACTTGATGGCACTTAACAACAACAATCTTGTTTGTTGTCCTCTTATTTTCAATGCCCTTATATGTTCATGTGAATCTAGTCTTCTTTTGACACCTTGTTATTTCTTGGCTAAGTATGGGAAGGAATACAAACCTGGCACACACCTTTCCTGATAAAACATTCAGTGTCCCCTTGTCTGTTTGAATGACTGCCTCTTGATCTAGGTACAGATTCCTCATGAGCACAATTTTGTCATTCTTCACAATTTTGTCCACAGCTTATCATGATCCACACAGTCGAAAGGTTTTGCATAGTCAATTTAGCTTCTCTGCTTCCACCCAAGATCCATCTGACATCAGAAATGATATCCATCATCCCACATTCTCATCTAACTCCAGCTAGGACCTCTGGTTGCTCCCTGTCAATGTACTGTTGCAGCCATTTTTAAATGATCTTAAGTAAGATCTTACTTGCATGTGATATTAATGATATTGTCTGATGATTTCTGCATTTTGTTGGATCACCTCTCTGGGAGGTGATCTCTTCGAATTTGTTTGCCAATTTTCTTGGCATAAATGATTGAGTGCCTCCAGTACTGCATTAGTTTGTTGAAAGATTTCAATTTGTATTCCCTCAGTTCCACAGAGCCTTGTTCTTTGCCAGTATCTTCAGTGCACATTGGACTTTCTCCTTACGTACCCTTGGCTCTTGTTCATATGAGCATCAACCATATCTTTTTGGTACAGTGACTCTGTGTATTCCTTCCATCTTCTTTTAATGCTTTCTGCATCATTCAGTAATTTTCCCAGAGAATCCTTCAGCATTATAAGATGAGGCTTGAATTTTTCTGTCAGTTATTTCAGCTTGAGAAATGCTGATTGTGTTCTTCCCTTTTAGTTTCTAACTTCAGGTCTTTGCACATTTCATTATAATGTTTGACTTTGTCTTCATGAGTTGCCCTTTGAAATTTTCTGTTCAGCTCTTTGCCTCCTTTTTCCCATTTACTTTAGCATCTTATGCTGGAGAGCAAGTTTCAAAGCCTCTTCTGACATCCATTTTGGTCTTTTCCTTCTTTCTTCTCTTAATGACTTTTTGCGTACTTCCTGTATTATGTTGTTGTTGTTTTTAAGTTTTTATTATGAGTTGAATGATAGTTTACATGGGAGAACATCAGTTTTACACTCATCCTATTGTATTTTGTTTCATTGCAATTACAATCCCCTCCATGCATCATCATTCAACAGTATTTGCTTCTATTCCCTATGTGTGTGTGGTTTTTTTTTTTATGTACACCAAAACACTCAGGAATATATAATCATTCAAACAACCAAAGGGCATATCCTGCAAGCCTGCTCACTGGCTGCCAGCACACAGCTCCTCTCCTTCTATGAGTCTAGAGTCCTCAGCCATTCCATCTCTCCAAATCATCATTTCTGCCTCCATCTCTGGCATTGCCACTTCTCTGAATAGGGTCACACACTCCACTCCCGATCTTCTCCCTTTATGGCCCCTGGGTCCTCTGCTCTTGGACTGCAAGGTCAACCACTCTCCTGTTTTTGCAACAAAACCCCTACCTTTACAGTTGTAACAGTTGCAATCAGTCATGATAACAATGACTCACTATTGAATCATGAGAGTCTTATCGCCATCTCCTTTCACCAGCCCCATCTAGACAAGATGAAAACCACTCAGTGGAGATTCTACCTTCCCCTGCACCCTCTGAAACTAAATTCCTTCTTGAAAACTTGTAAGCTAGTCACTTCGTACTTTTTATAGGCAACCCCCCCCCCCCCATTTTAGGTAGCCAATGTCTAAGTTGCCCGTCCCTATCAACCCTGTGTACAGAGGGGGTGGGAATAATCCTTGCTGTGAAGATTCCTTCCCTCTTGGTTGGTATTTTAAGCTACTACATCCATAAGTATAGGTTAAGTTCATCAAATTGTAGTGATTTACATTTGTTTCCTTTATCAAAAAAAAATTTTTTTTTTGAATTTTCCTCTAGTCAAGTTATGATCATCCAGCCATTGAAGCTGGGTCAAATAGCAGGTATGAGCATTCTTGTGCATCTCCCCTCACTTCATATCAGCTGGACACTTCACTCTTAGCTCTAGCCCTCTATGGCTATATCCTTGTCCCTGTATTATGTTCTTAATGTCATCCCTAACGCTTCTGGTTTTCGGTCTGCAGTGTCAATACATCAAATCTGTTCTTGAGATGATCTCTAAATTCAGGTGGGATATGTTCATTGACAGAGAACTTCCGGAGGTTCAAGCCGGATTCAGAAGAGGCCGTGGAACGAGGAATATCATTGCTGATGTCCAGTGGATCTTGGCTGAAAGCAGAGAATATCAGAAGGATGTTTACATGTGCTTTATTGACTACGCAAAGGCTTTGGATTGCGTGGATCATGACAAGCTATGGACAACATTGCGAAGTATGAATATTCCTGAATACTTAATTGTGCTCATGAGGAATCTGTACCTGGACCAAGAGGCAGTTGTTCGAACAGAACATGGGAGCACTGAATGGTTTAAAATTAAGAAAGGTGTGTGACAAGGTTGTGTTCTTTCACCATACTTATTCAACCTGTATGCTGAGCAAATAATATGAGAAGCTGGGGTTCTATGAAGAAAAACGTGGCATCAGGATTGGAGGAAGACTCATTAGCAACCTGTGATATGCAGATGATACAACCTTGCTTGCTGAAAGTGAAGAGGACTTAAGACATTTATTGATGAAGATTAAAGAGCACAGCCCTCAGTATGGATTACATCTTAATGTAAAGAAAACAAAAATCCTCACCACTGGACAAGTAAACAACATTCTTATCAATGGAGAAAAGATTGAAGTTATCAAGGACTTCATTCTTCTTGGATCAACTATCAACACTCATGGAAGTAGCAGTCAAGAAATCAAAAAACGTATCGCATTAGGCAAATTTGCTGCACAAGACCTTTTTAAAGTATTGAAGAGCATAGACGTCAGCTTGAGGACTAAGGTGCACCTGACCCAAGCCATAGTATTTTTAATAACCTCACATGCATGCGAAAGCTGGACATTGAATAAGGAAGACTATAGAAGAATTGATGCTTTGAGTTATGGTGTTGGAGGAGAATATTGAAAATACCATGGGCTGCCACAAGAACCAACAGATCACTGTTGAAAGAAGTGCAGCCAGAGTGTTCCTTGGAGGTCAGGATGGCCAAACTTCGTCTCTTATACTTCGAACATATTGTCAGGTGGGACCAGTCGCTGGAGAACAACATCACGTTTGGTAGGATGGAGGGTCAGAGAAAAAGAGGAAAACCTCCAGCGAGATGGATTGGCTTAAAGGTGGCAACAATAGTGAGGTTGGCCCGGGATCGGGCAGTGTTTGGTTCTGCTGTACATGAGGTTGCTATGAGTCGGTACCAATTCGATGGCAGCTAACAACAACATGTTCCAGGTCATATTTTGATTCTCATGGATTTGTTTTAATTTTTCTTCAGCTTCAGCCTGAATTGCGTACAGGTAATTGATGGTCTTTTCCACAGTCTACCCCTGCCCTTGTTTTGGCTGATGATATGGAGCTTTTCCACCATTTCTTTCCACATATGTATTCAATTTGATTTCTGTGTATTGGTGAAGTCCATGTGTATAATCATCTTGTATATTGTTTAAAAAAGGTGTTTGCAATGAACAAGTCATTGGTCTTACAAATTCTGCCATGTGATCTCCAGCATCATTTCTATCTTCAAGGCCATATTTTCCAACTACTGATTCTTTCATCCTTGGCATTCCAATCACCAGTAATTATTGATGCATCTTGATTACATTTTAATCAATTTCAGACTGAAGAAGTTGATTCAGTTCTTCAGTTTCATTATCACTGTCTTTAGTGGTTGGTGCATAATTTGAATAATAGTAACATGA